CTTCCTTTGGTAATGCTAGCTTTTAGCAGACCAGAGAAAGTGCTCCACTGGCTTCTGTCTCAACTCCTTAGATATTTATTTTGAGGAGTCTGTGGAAATGAACTGGAAGGATTGGCCCTAGTAACTTGAGGACAAAAATCACTTTTTCCTCACTGGCCACCCTCTACTACCTCTTTTGCCATCACATATACTGATGTAGCAATAACTCCCCACTTCTACTGTGGTCAGGATTGTCCTCAGAAATGTGCACAGGCACATGGAAGACAGATGCTTCCCCAAGCAGTCCTAGTTACTCTGGGAAAGCTACACTGCTCCACCCCAGGTGGCATCAGTGGAAAAAAGGTAAATCAGACAAAGGTCTTGGTGGTACAGAACCAGAAATCAATTCAGGATGCCATCAGGTCTACACCTGGTGCATTTCCACCCTACCTCGGTGGTAGAACCAAGAGGGATGACTACGATGCCTGTGTCAGTAAGGGGCAGACTAAGTCCGACCAAGGAAGGAAAGCTTCAGTGGCAAGACTGTCCACACCCCCATCTAGAGCAGGGAGGGATGCCTCCAGTGGAAAGAAGCCAAGGCTGTGGATGCCACTTTTTTCTCTCTTATAGATGGGAGCTAGCAGTTCCAGAAACACTCCTTTAAAATGTATTTAAAAAAACACTGGGATAAGTTTGATCCCCAGAATTTAAAAAAGACATGCCTGATCTTCTTCTGTGATACTGAATGGCCATGGTATCCTTTGGAAGATGGAACGCTGGCCTGTTGAAGGATCTCAATTATAATACTGTTTTACAATTAGTCAGTTCTGTAGAGAACAAGAGAAATGGGTATAAGTGACATATGTGTTGCTCTTTATCTCTCTGTGAGACATGCCAGACTTGTGTCCTAAGAGTACAGATTTGGGTGTGAAACCTTCAGCATCTCCTGTCCTCTTACTTTGCCCCTGTATCTGGGGCTCCCAACTGAACAGGCTGAGAGTCAGGGCACCCTTCTAGGAAGGGTTGCCTCAGTCTCAGAAGAAATTCAAATGGTACCAATTGCAGTCAAGACTATCTAGAGGATCCAGAAAATTCCATAGAAGCCTTTATAGGACTAACTTCACCTTATGAGCTTACTTGGCGAGATATAATACATGTCTTAGGACAGATGCTGACCCCTGACTAAAAAACTAAAGTTTTAGGGAAGATACTATTTTTAGAGATAAATGGCTTGAAGGTAAGGGAAAGAGGGAACATGAAATAGCTCTCCTTCCTATTGGAAGCCAAGCAGTTCCCATAACAGAGCCACTTTGTCAGATGCATTCTTGAAGGACTAAAGTGAGCATTCACTAAGATTTTAAACTATGCTGACCTTAAACTATGCTAAGTTGGCTGACATAGAACAGGGGGAGAAGGAAACTCCTGGTAAATTCCTAGATAGGCTACAAGAGACTCTCTGTAAGTTTACTGATGTTGCTCCCAAGAGGGCAGAGGAGGAATGATCTTAAAAGATAGATTTCTCACTCAGTCAGCTCCAGATATTCACCATAAGTTACAAAAACAGGCATTTGGACCAAATAAGTCTTTAGAAAAACTGTTACAGCTGGCTCAGATGGTATATTACAGTAGAGAATATGAGGAGGAGAAACGACAACAGAAAAGAACCAAAGGAAAGGCCCAGGCTCTAGTGATGGCTGCGAAAACTTCTATGAATCAGCCTGAAGAGAAAAATGCCCAGAGGAACCGAGGTGAAAAGGGATGGGCTTGTTATTACTGTGGAAAGGAGGGGCATCTCATGTGAAGTTGCCCTCAGGCATCTAAGCTGCCCCAGTTCCATGTTCAGTCTGCAAAGGACCATACTGGAGAAGAGACTGCCCTCCGAGGTGTAGGCTCCAGGGGGTCAAACTCTCAAGACAATCAGGACTGAAGGTGTCTTGGGGTCCCCACAAAAGCTCCCATCCTAATAACACCTGAGGAACCCCAGGTATTAATAACTATGGCGGGCCAATCAGTCGATTTTCTTTTAGACACTGAAGCAACTTTCTCAGTACTCACTGAAGCCCCTGGTCCACTTTCTTCCCAATCCACTACTGTAATGGGACTGTCAGGATGAGCCAAACACTATTATTTCAGTCTTCCTTTAAGCTGCAACTGGGACTCTGCTGTTTTCTCATGAGTTTCTGATCATGCCACAGTCTCCCTCAGCCCTTCTGGGGAGGGATATACTGAACAAAGTCCAGGCCTCTGTTCTCATGAATATGGAACCCGCTTTTTTAACTGAAGAAAATGTAAATCCTAAAGTACGGGCTGATGGAAAAACTGTGGGTTGAGCACAAAATGTTGTTCCTTTCCTTATCAAGCTCAAAGACCCTCACTTATTTCCACATCAAAAGCAGTATCCATTAAAGCCTGAGGTTCAGGAAGAGTTAAAACCCATCATTGAAAATTTAAAGGAACAGGGGCTATTCATTACTTGGAATAGTCCATGCAACATTCCTGTTTTGGGTGTGACAAAGTCAAATGATAAATGGAGTCTAGTTCAAGATTTATGAAAAATAAGTGCCTAATTCTTATACTTTATTGTCTGAAATCCCTGAATGAGCCAAATATTTTTCAGTCATTGATTTGAAGGATGCTTTCTAGAGTTAAACCTATACTATATCATCCTCTGCCTATGACTTTAAGACAACTGAGAGGATTCTTGGGCACTACAGGCTATTGTCACATTTGGAGACCGGGTTATGGGGAAATTACCCAGCCTTTAATGAGGGCTTGAAGGGAAGGGAAAGGGAAGTCACTCAGTCCTGTCTGACTCTTTGTGACCCCATGGACTGTAGCCCACCAGGCTCCTCCATCCATGGAATTTTCCAGGCAAGAGTAATGGAGTGGGTTGCCATTGCCTTCTCCAGGGGATCTTCCTGATACAGGGATCGAACCCAGGTCTCCTGCATTGCAGGCAGACGCTTTACCATCTGAGCCACCAGGGAAGCCAATGAGGGTTTGAACTATCCCCCAATGACAGACTGTTTTTCACGCAGATATTGTCATAGATCCTAAAGCCTTAGAATTAAGTATGTGACTCAGCTTTCAGCTTTTCAAAAGACATTACAAGAACTCCTGGAGGTGACCCCTGACCCAGCCTCCACAATCGTTCTAACTGCTGTGTCTGTGGAGCACTCCCCTCCTCATCAACTGAAGGCTTAACATGGTTAGTTTCTCTCATTCAAGGAAAGGATTTTCTTCAAGTCTGCATATACCTTCACCAACAACAATCATATGTGATGCCTCTTCTTTATCTGATTACATCTAACAAGCCTAAGATGGACTGATAACATATTGTACCTTAACTATGGACATAATGTAACTTTTAATATTGAGTATGTTTTAACTTGATTTAATGACTATTTTGCCTAACATCTGTAAATGTATAATGGGATCTGTTTCTAACCGTCTGAAAACTTTTAAGTTACAAATAGTTGTCCAGACACCTACAAGTGCCACAGCCTCCTCCAACTATTACTTGGGGCCCCTGGATCAGAGACACTCAATAGGAGGGTTAGGAGAATATGTTTCCTCCACAATTTAGGGATGACACCCCTCAAAAGCAGGAAGTAGTTGTGGAATGAAAATGACGCCCCTTTCCCTTGGCAACACAATTCTCCTAAAAGAAAAGGGGGGAATGAGAGAATCAATTTTTAGGTAGGTTGATAAGAAGTCTTTCATCCCTGAAGAGGAGCAAGGGGTCTGGGGCTCTCAAAGAGGAGATAGGGGTCTGGAATTCTCAAGGAGGAGGAAAGGACAAACTTTTTTTCTACATTCCTTAGCCTTAGTAAGGATTATATAACAACAATGTATCCTGCTTGAGGACATGTTTCTCCTTCTTGACAACCTTCTGACTAATCCTATTATCTTAAAATGTATATTATGGGAGTGGATCTGGTAAAATCTTTCTATTGTTAATTCTAATCCTGTCATCTTAAAATGTAAGTTGTGGGAATGGGTCTAGTAAGATCTTTACAACCTTAAGATATTCTTTTGATTTATTGCAATAACAAATTAAAAAGTATATAGCTTTCTTGCTAAGACTAGTTAGGGATGCACTCTCCATCCCCCTTCTGATGTCTATGTCAGAAGCTTTCTCTGTCCCTTTTTATACTTCAATAAAACTCTGCTACACAAAAATTCTTGAGTGATCAAGCCTGGTCCCTGGTTCCAAAGCTAAATCTTCTTTGGAGATAACGAATCTGACATCATTCAGCATAAGCTACCGACTTCATGGCAAATAGATGGTAAAAAAGTGGAGACAGTGGCAGATTTTATATTCTTGGACTTCAACATCATTGCAGACTGTGACTACAGCCATGAAATTAAAAGACACTTGCTTCTTGGAAGAAAAGCTATGACAAACCTAGATGGCATGTTAAAAAGCAGAGACATCACTTTGTTGATAAAAGTCCACACAGTCAATGCTATGGTTTTTCCAGTAGTCATGTACAGATGTAACAGCTGGACCATAAGGAAGGCTGAGTACCAAAGAAGGATGCTTTCAAACTGTGCTTCTGGAGAACACTCTTGAGAGTCCCTTGGGCAGCAAGGAGATCAAACCAGTCAATCCTAAAGGAAATCAACCCTAAATATTCATTGGAAGGATTGATGCTGAAGCTCCAATACTTTGGCCACGTGATGCAAAGAGTTGACTTATTGGAAAAGACCCTGATGCTGGGAAAGATTGAGGGCAGGAGGAAAAGGGAGCAACAAAGGGTAAGATAGTTGGATGGCATCATTGACTCAATGGACCTGAGTTTTAGCAAACTCTGGAAGATAGTGAAGGACAGGTTAGCTTGGCATGTTGCAGTCCATGGGGTCACAAAGAGTCAGAAATGACTTAGGGACTGAACAACAACAAGCCCATATGCACAAATCCAACTTTCCCATTAACACTGCAAAGCTCACTACATGAGGAGGAGCACTGCAGCATGAGTAAAACAGAAGTATTAGAGAGGTTTTTGATACATAGATACCTTTGGTCTTGTGTCTACAACATACAAGAACTGGCTCCCTGGATTTGTCTGGCGAATAGCCTCTAGCAGGAGCTCGTCATCTATGCAACGAGTATAAAATCCAGACAGAGGCTGGCTACAGCGGCAAATGGCAGCCTGTAAAGGAAAATGTGTCAGTTGAGTGATCATATTTACAGGTGGTCAAAAATCCTCCTTGTTCCCATGTTCAATGAGTAGAAGAGGATGAGCCAACTCAGGATAGTGACATAAAAAAAAATGCAGCCCTGAAATTCAGCATTTCAGTAATATTGATTGAGCTCAGCTTCCTGCCTCCCTCCCCATTCCAGAATGTGGGCTGTATTACTACAAACTGTCGCTCAGACAGTCTTTTCTTTCTTCTACATGGCTAAGATTCCCAACCCAGTCTTGGCAAACCCAGACTACAATAAAATCACATCTTGAGTGTTTTAATAAAATTTTACTTATTTTTAATATGTATTAGGATAGTATTTTTCTTAAATTGTCTTGCTTTTTATAGTCCCAGTGATATCACCCACATACCGGAGGCTCACTTAAGAATTCAAGATAGAACAAAGATCTAGAGTTTCTTAAGAGAACAGAATTCACTCACTTCAGGAGTCAAATGCTAAATCATAGTACTGGTTTGTTTAAAGCCATTTCAATATGAAAACAGCACAGCTATGTAGCAGGTACATCTGATAATGATCAGTTAATGAACTGCATTCATTTCGGTGGTGGTGTTATATAGTCTGCTTACTTCGACAGTCTGACACAGACAACCACTTATATTACTATACTCTTTAGCACTTGAATACCTGAGAACTTGACTATTTGTCTAATTCCAGATCTCAGAGAAACCACAAGAGGAAAGAACTATTATCCCTTCTTATGGAAGGGGACTCAGAGGAATCAAGTGCTTTCCCATAAGACCCTAAATTATATGAAAAATAGTGGGAAAGAATAAGGAAATCTGTGTTATAGTGAGAGACAACAATCTACAAATATCCTTTCATATGACTGTTCCCTTTCATTTAACAGTTACTTGCCATCACGCAGGAGCTGGCAGAGCAGGAAAGAAATAAATGAACACACTACAAATGCCACTTAACATCTGCATAGCACTTTAAAATTTACAAAGTACACATATTTTTCCTGATGTGACCCATTTAAAGCCACTCTAAAGTACTAAAGTTCAGAGAAGTAACATGCTTGAGGTCACAAAGCTAGTAAGTGACAGTACTGTGACTTAAACGCAGGTCTTCTAGAGCCAAGTTTAGTTCTCATCAGAGAAGTTTTGTCAACTCACATTGTTCTCTTTGTAGAGGTAGGAGAGCACAGGCACACGTTCTTTACTTCTGAACTTTGAACTTCCAACCACCGTTCCCAGTGTAACAGATTTAGGAACCACTATTTCAGGAGGGTAGGTATTGCATATCTAAAAGAAAACAAACTCAATTTTTTAAACTTAATCTTCTTACATTTTTTTTTTACCTGCTAGCAGCAACAGGTTGGAATGGCAATCACTCAAGCATTAGCTGCCCATTATTTATCAGTGAGAATCATCGATTCCTCAAAAATAAGAACAAAAATATCCCTGATGTAAAAAGCTCTTCGAAGTATGCTAGTATTTTCTAGAAATGAAAATATTGAGATATATAAGAACAAAATGTACTTTAAGAGTAACTAACATTATAGATAGAAACATTTTGCATATGTCACATTGCTAGAGGAGTTGAAACATGTCCTATGTGACTCCACTGGGAAAGGGCAAAAGCTTCAACTTTTGTCTGGTTTTCCCCAGACTTTACTCCTTTCCCCTTTGTTGATTTTGCTTTCTATATTTTCACTGTAATAAATCACAGTCACAAGTGACTATATGCCAGGTCCTCCTAGTGAATTAATACACATGAGAGCTTCTATATTTGGCCCAGAAATCTTTCTGGAGATCTAGACTCAAATGCTTGATATCAAATACCTGATTTTCTTAATCACCTTAAACTCATGTCTAAAACTAAAAATGTTGTCTGACCCTCTTCTTGTGATCTTTATCTTGCTAACATATCCATACCCACCTGGGTCACCTAAGCCAGAAACCAGGAAACCTGGGATGCCTACTAAACTTCTCCCTCTTTCTCCCAGCCACATTAATGTGTCACCAGGTTCTTTAACTTCTACTACCTAAATATCTGTTAAAACTATCTCCTCCTATCCATCCATAGTTATTGCCTTAGTTCAGGTTCTCATCACTTCTCATATCACTCTCCTGCATTCTTAACTCCAGCAAACCAATTCTTCATACCAATATCAAAGTTATCTTTCTAAAATACAAATATATACCATAGATGAATGAAACTGGAGCTCATTATACAGAGTGAAGTAAGCCATAAAGATAAAGACCAATGCAGTATACTAATGCATATATATGGAATTTTAAAAGATGGTAACGATAACCCTATATGCAAAACAGAAAAAGAGACACAGATGTATAGAACAGACTTTGGGACTCTGTGGGAGAAGGCGAGGATGGGATGTTCTGAGAGAACAGCATTGAAACAAGTATACTATCAAGGGTGAAACAGATCACTAGCCCAGGTTGGATGCATGAGACAATTGCTCAGGGCTGGTGCACTGGGAAGACCCAGAGGGATGGGATGGGAAGGGAGGTGGGAGGGGGGTTTAGGATGGGGAACACATGTAGATACACGGCTGATTCATGTCAATGTATGTCAAAAACCACTAAAACACTGTAAAGTAATTAGCCTCAAACTAATAAAAATAAATGAAAAAATAAAATAAAATACAAATATACTTACAGACATTTCCAAGTTAAAAGACTGTTGTGGTTGTGGTCCTCAGGATAACATTCAAATTCTTCAATTTATCCGTGATCTGAGTTCACTTACTGACCTCTTTCCTTCTCTCCCTGTATAAGTTAGGATAGAATCCCTTCTCTAGGCTATTCCCCAAAGCTGAAGGCTCTTACTGGCATTCCAGTTTGACTTCCATATTCTTCATCTATGCTCCCATAGCACCCTATGCTTTAGACTATGAGAACTCTGACTTGGTGTTTTAAATGCACTAGTTATTTAATAAAAATCTTGTTGAATGGCTGAATGTTGAATGAAAAGGAGAGATAATGGGTGGTTTTTTCCCTTTTCAAAACTTTGCTTGCTGAAATACTTCTGTTTCAATTAAGTGAACCAAAAGAAAACAGTAACAAAATTACCTCATAGTTTCTGTTGGCATCTGTTATGGTCCAGTACCTGTTAGGAATTCCCATACGTCCAAAGTCTGATGTTTGGTCAATCAGCTTCCATCCATTTTCCCTCATGTCTTTTGAGAACTTGGGATTATATGAAAAAGCATACAGATCTTCAGGTAATTCTATAGAAGAAATATAGGCATTGGAATAAAGTAATAATGAATGAAACATAACACCAAATAATGCAATAAAGGCTAGATTTTATTCTCCCTAAGGGAGTATTTGTCATCAGCCCCGGAAAAGGACAATAATTTGTGTACAAGGTTGCCTTTATTTGTATACAAGGAATAAGAACTGAAATAATGCTTTAGAGTCTTCTTTTAAAAATATTTATATGATCCCAATACAAAGCAGGAAAATTCTGCCTGGTTTCCTGTAAAATGCTGGATGATGGACTGAACTCACATGCTGAGAAAGTGGTCCTTACCAAAAATTTTAACTGATCTTCAATGTCCTAGCTGCAGTACTTGTTGTGACATATTGCAAAACATTAGCAGTGTTCTTGCATTTTGTTAGTGAGGTCAGTACCTGCTTCTGGCTGATAAACGGCCAACTCTTCTTCTTGTCAACCCCACTTCCTCCTTTCACAAGATTCAACATATAGTCAATAACTCATTTGATCATTTTATGTGGCAATAAATTGATTATGTGGCAATAAAACAGAATCCCAAGTCAGACGGTAGGTGCTGAGAGAGGGCATCAGAGGGCAGACAGACTGAAACCACAATCACAACTAGCCAAACTGAGCACATGGACCATAGCCTTGTGTAACTCAGTGAAACTAAGCCATGCTATGTGGGGCCACCCAAGACGGACGGGTCATGGTGGAGAGGTCTGACAGAATGTGGTCCACTGGAGAAGGGAATGGCAAACCACATCAGTATTCTTGCCTTGAGAACCCCATGAACAGTGTGAAAAGGTAAAAAGATAGGACACTGAAAGATGAACTCCTCAGGTCAGTAGGTGCCCAATATGTTACTAGAGATCAGTAGAGAAATAACTCCAGAAAGAATGAAGGGATGGAGCCTGAACAAAAACAACACCCAGCTGTGGACGTGACTGGTGATAGAAGCAAGGTCTGATGCTGTAAAGAGCAATATTGCATAGGAACCTGGAATGTTAGGTACATGAATCAAGGCAAATTGGAAGCGTTCAAACAGGAGATGGCAAGAGTGAAGGTTGACATTCTAGGAATCAGCGAACTAAATGACAGAATGATCTCTGTTTGTTTCCAAGGCAAGCCATTCAATATCACGCTAATGCAAGTCTATTCCCTGACCAGTAACACTGAAGAAGCTGAAGTTGAATGGTTCTATGAAGACTTTCAAGACCTTTTAGAACTAACACCCAAAAAAGATGTCCCTTTCATTACAGGAGACTGGAATGCGAAAGTAGGAAGTCAAGAAACACCTGGAGTAACAGGCAAATTTGGCCTTGGAGTACAGAATGAAGCAGGGCAGATTAATAGAGTTTTGCCAAAAGACCACACTGGTCATAGCAAACACCCTCTTCCAACAACACAAGAGAAGACTCTACACATGGACATCACCAGATGG